TCAAAAAAAAGTTGACAGGTAGAGAATCTAAATCATCAAAATTTACATATTCATCTTCATGTATGACAGAATGTAGAATATTTTATCTATTCTTGGATAGATTTTTGTGATTCAGGGTGGGAGCAAGAAATAGACTTGAATTAATTGAGAATCTTGATTGATCTTTCCGGGCAGGAAAAGTATGCAAAAATTTGTAGAATATGGAACGGATGTGAGCGTAGTTACTAGCTTAATATAAAATTTAAAGTTTCTTACTTCCAATTTACTCAAACTCGTCAGTTCCTTCGTTGTTTTCATTTAATACTTTGTATAACTTTTGCATAATACCAAGCACATAATGATCATAAAAGAAATCAATTCCCAATTCTAATGTTATTTCAAATTTTCTAGAGATTTCCTTAAGATACCAAAAAAGAAGCATTCCTTTGTTCCATAAAATGTATTCTTACCTTTCACCTTTTATTCATCTCCTCCATGGTCCATTATGCCGAACAAAAGGGATACTTGAAGTGTGTAATTGAAAATTATGCATGATAAAAATGCGTAAAGTGAAAATATTTGCATAATTTTAAACGCTTCTCAAGCTGTTTCTGTTGCTGTTTCTTAATAACTTTTTTTCTTCCCTTTTTATCCACAAAAAAAAATGACCAGAATAAAAAAAGATTCAATTGAATGTGTTCAATTTCACAAGTTATTTGTTCTTCCAAGTGGAAATAAAGAAGAAAAAAAGGCAATAAGAAGAAGAAAGGAAAGCAAAAGTAACTGCAAAATCAGAATATTTTATTCAATGAAAAATCATTAAGAATTCCTTTACATTTTTTTTTGTTTTTTCGTTGTCGGCTTCATGTCCCTATCCTTTTCATGTGTGTATAAATGTGTTATGTTATTCATCTAAAACACAAGTCAAGCACACAAAAAATTATATTGGCATGAAATCAGTTAGGATTTTAATATTATTAAGGTTGATGCGCATTTTGCTGGATGAAGCTATGTTTAGGGAACAGTTTAAGTTAGGATTAAAATCAAGTTTTACTGTGCTGCTAAGCTTCTTGAAGAACGATCACTCCAGATTAGATGAAGCATTGGTTCAGATCAACAACGTAGCTGTATATTGTTAAGGGTCTGTATAGGGCAGAGATAGAATGCGACTCAAGATTTTCATTGACTTGTGTGACGGAGTCGACAGCAGCTCCAAACTTTCATGAACTTCAATTCACATCCTTGTAATAATTATCAAAAGCTTTTAACAGAATATGCTTTCTTTTGATCCTGCATTCAAAAGAGTTTCTTACCCTTTCTTGAGCATTACTTACTGTAACCATGTTCCTATATGGAGCTCAGGTTACAACAAAATTCTTTCCATCTGACTCTGTTGCTGGCTCAGTCACCTAGTTTGTTCAACTTCTCTGCCCACAAATTAATCAACAACAAGATCATATCCCATCAAAAAAGTACAATAATCAAATCACTTCATAACAGTCAAACTGCCCAAAATTCTGGATTATCAAAAAGAACAAAAATTGCAATTTAAAGTACGAAAAGCGGAATGGAATTATTGTTATTGAAATAAATCGAGAATCTGAAAATTGGCTTTTTTTCCTCTTCTTTAAAACAAAAAACAAGAATCATTTCAAGAAGAGAATTTGTGATTCAGTTGGGACCCACTTTACTCTTCTCCTCGATATTATTTCTCTTTATATATATTTTTTCGGGTGATTTTTAAATGGCAAAAATTGGTGATAAGTCGAGTTTTATGTCAAAAAATGTGTCGTTTGAAATTTAATTCTTTTACCTTTTTTTTCTGTGTCGTTCTCGAGCTCTTTGCCTGACCAATTCGTTTATCTTGATTCGCTTTACTTTATTTATGTATTATTTTCTCATATGTGTCTTTCTTGTTGTATTTCACTAGACTTTTGGTCTCTAATGATGAAATACTTACAATAAAATATCAAATAACGATAATAAAATGAGGCTGGAAGGAAATTGATCTGATTTTATTTATTTCTCATTTCTCAAGTGCCGTTCAAAAGGCAGAAATTCTAAAGAGGGCGGAAAGAGTCTTCTTCAAAATTGTTCTCCAAGGAATCATCTTGGAAACTTTGCAATTTTCCAATCCGATTAGAAAATGTGAAAAATTGGGACATAAAAATTTATGAAAAAGAGTTTTTTTGCAGGAAATTTAAGACGATTTTGCTAACTTTTATTGCTTTGATTTAGTAGGAAATTTATTAGATTGTTTATTGCTGCTGATTTTTTGATGGCTTTTTGGGTGTGAGATATTTGGTAGCTATAGAGATTGAAACTGTCTTGATGGGTTTAGAATAGTTTGATTCTCAAGTGACACAAATGGTTCATGAGGAAGCTAATTTAGCTTTGGTGTTCATGATAAGAGAAATTCTACAAATAGCTACTTATCATGGATGCCACGTAATGTCAAAACTTAAATTTAGCCATCGAAAAAGGCTTTAAACAGCCGTCACGGTATCTCAGACTACTCATTCGTTATGTTAACGTAGCTACTAAGTTGTACCACTCGGGTATTAATTTTGTGCTGCTCGGAAATTAAAGACTTGTTCTAAATCTACTAAACCTTAGAATCGAGTCATTACAAAATTCTCAGAACCAAAAAAACTCCAGTAACTCCTTGCATTTTAATTGATTTATAAAATATAAAATTACCTCTTACTTTGATTATCTTAATACTCAAGAAACATGCCAAATCATACGCGAAGTAATTTTCATTCCTTAAAAAAAAACTTTCTTATCATTCTACAAAAATTTCGGTATCGTTTCTTTTATGAAATTGAGACCATGAAAAAATATGAGAATTTATGAGGCAGAGATCTTCAAGAAAAAAAATCGCATGCAGGAGATGAAAAAAAAGTGTTTCTTTTTGCATGGACTTTCAACAACATAAACAAAAGGCAAAGAGGATACGACAAAGACAAAAGAGAGTCAAAATGCAAATTAAAATTAATTGGTTGTTCATTTATCATTTCTCGTGAAATTCACCCCGAAATGAATGCTAAAAGAACAGAGATTACATTTTTGTGATAAAAAGCGTTTAATCGCAAAAAGGTAAGAGAATTAAATTCATAGTGCGGCAGTTATTTGTTTTTCGTCTGCTGTACAGCGCGCAACAAAAATGTCCGAGTGAAAGAGATATATGTATATAAAATGTATAGCATGTGTGTATAGTCATAAAAATTTTTTAATTTGATGTTATAAAATGTATATCATTGAATGTGTATGCTTACCATAAGGATTTGTGATAATCTCGCCTGACTCACTTTCGCGAAAATTCTCCTTTTTTGGTGGAATTTGTTTTGTTGAATTAAGATGTGACCAGATTTGACAGTCATTTTGTTTCCATGGCTGGTTTAGAAAAATATCTAAAGTTGGTCGAAGGACAGTTAAGGTTCGGAGATCTCAAGCTCTCCTTTTTTCAAGAATATTGAACAATAATAATGTGTGAAGGGCCCAGCCTTTGAGCTAGAGGCACTGCGATTCAATATGTAAAGAACCTATGTACCACACCCTTTAGACCTATAGTTTATGGTGGAATCCGAACCACTTGCAAGGTCTGAACATTGCAAAGACACGAGTACGTCATAAGACCTGATGTACCCTGCAATGCACTTAGTGACAATTCGTGTGCGCAAGATGCCGTAAGGAAGTCATCGAGATGCTAGTATATCCTTGTATACCTAGCAAACGAGACATATTCTGTGCCAAAGACTTCAAAACTACACCCAACACACGAACGGACCTTCGTAACTAGAACGGTGAAAATGGAAAAGGAGCTTCGAAAATTAGTCATGACCTGGGATTGAACCATTTAAGCCGCTGGTGTCATTTCACCGCTTAATAATAGAACAAACTTTAGACTCAACATTTTGGCTTCATGAACTTTACAGTTAATAAGATGGAGCTAATAGAAAGACATCTTCAAAAGGATCAATTCAAACTTTGATTCAAAATCTAGCATATGAATTAAAAGTTTGAAATCAAACAACAGCTTGCCTTCCTTTCAATGATATCAACTCCCAAAAAACAGTTAAAACCAAACCAACAATTAAAATGCACAACAACCCCTTGCTTCATTTGATTCCTTTACTCGGTTAATTTTTTTTCGTTCATGTTCATACGATTGTGTATTTCTGCAGCCATTTTTTTCGTTTTATTTATTTACTTTTTCCAGCTTCATAGGAGATTATCTTTGAAACGTGTTATTTTTTAATTTTTATATTATTCCTTTTTTTGAGCATTTTTCAATATTTTGAAAAGGGAAACCAATTAAAATTAATTTTTTTTTTTGATAAATGCTCGGTGGCTGCGTAATAAATTCAGTGATGATGTCACAACCATTTTACTTCTTTTTTCCACTTTACTAATTATATTAAGAATTCCAGAAGGAGGCGCATGAATAGCAGTAAGCTGTCGTTATTTTGTCCATAAAAAATGCATTCACATTGAGCAGGCAGCAGAAGAAGATGCAGCGAACGAAATGTGTTTATTTTTATATAATTTGAAAATTATTATAATTTGTAATTAATATGCACATTTTATATCATCGAAACATTTCAATTTACGTGATGTGCTTACCATCGATAAATAATTAATTTGTGTTCTGCATAGAATTAATGATGAAGTTGTGTAATGCTTGTTTATGGAATTCTTATGCAACTTGATTTTTTATTTAACTTCCAGGTGAGAATTTCATGAGTTTTTTGGAAGTAGCTAGACATGAAAACTTACATGCTGATGCGCTTAGAAGTCCCACAAATGCAAACGTCAATCAAACAATTTCACATTTCATTATGCTGTATTATTTTTGGTAAGTCTTAAATTAAAGACCTCGTGGGTGGCTTGAAGAAAAGAATTTTTTTTCCATGGTTAACCGCACAATTTGAATACACAAAATGTATGTCTAAGAAGTATGTAATGATAATAATTTCTTTATAACCATGAAAAATTTCCATAAGTAGACGAAAAGAAGAAGAAATTTGCCGTAAAGGATGTGTTGCATCAATGAGCATTTATTGGGTGTGTGTTCGTTGTATAGTGGCATACTTAACCTGCGTGATCCTACACTCTATGCTCTTGCATATGCCACTATCAGGTAGGCATCCTTTCAAAATATTCAAATATAAATTTCTCTCTTTTTTTGGGAACATCATGCAAATATCTCTTTGCTCTAGAGATTCCTAGAAAATGAGCTTATTTCAAATTATCCAATTACACCATGAAATTAAATGTGGATGATTCCATTAAAGATAATTTTCTAAAGATTTCTTAAACTGCAACATATGTAAAGGAAGAGAAAAAAAAATCTTTTTTCTTCTTCTTTTCTTTTCCTTTTTGCATGCATGCATAGCACAAAAGTATCAATGCACAGATAATGAACATGCTTTATTTTTTCGGACCCTAAGTCGGCACACTTTACATATATTTACTTATTGTATTGTATTGGATATTTACGATGGCCAGATTGTAAAATAAGTTTTTTTTTTTGAAGAAATAGAATCAGTGATTTTGATGTTCTGACCGTCAGAAGCAAAAAGTTTTCAAAATATCTTGCCTAGTTACATCATTGTGGAGTTAGAACCTTGCTAGACATTTAAATTGGTAGTTGATCTTCCTTACTTTAACATGCCATATGAGGCGAAAAAAAGATATTGAAATGAACTCAGAGTATTACAAAAATATTTAAGGATTTAAACCTTTAACTTTTTCCAAATTTATTACTTTTCATTAAATTGATTAGAACGAACATTTGGCAGAACTTCTTTATTAGCACAAAACAATATTTACTACAATCTACGGTCCGAATATGTCCCTGCAATCCATCATATTTCAGTTAATCTCATTTTTGTTCCTTATTTCCCAAAAAAAAAAATCTATATTTAATTTTTGTAAGTCATTTAAAAATGCATTTATACAGCTACAGTAGTTCTTTTTCGGGAGTCAATTATTTGCTTTTTTGCCTTTTCAGATTATCCTTTTACCGAATTGCCTTCTTGCAGATTACCTATGTACTAGAAAAATAGAGGGAAAAAAAGGAGACGAAGAAGAAGAAAGAAATGAGCAGCAACTGTAAAAAGGTAAAAATAATAGAAAGAAAATATGAAATGGGTGCTAATTCCATAGGATTATAGAATATCGATTTCAAAGCCAGAATGCTATTGAGTTGATATCATTTATTAATTTACTAAAAAAATAAACTTCAATTTGGTAAGAAAATAGGAGGATTAAAATAAGTAGAAAGAAGGACAAACTTTTTAAATTTGCTGATCTTTTATTTTTGGAAAGGAATTCTTCTCATTATACAAATTTTTTCACGCTAAATCTAGATATTATCCGAATTTCTTCGTTGTTTCGTTCACAACATGTTGGCATTTTTAATATTATTTTTTTATTGGACTCTCGTTATCTTTTATAAATCAAACAAGAAAGACTTCTACAAATTGATGGACAAACGAATTGTTATAGTTGAAGATATTTATTTTTTTCTCAAGAAATGGGAGATGAAGTGTAGAAAAAATAATATTTACAAGCACTATGAAGTTAACACCTGCTATGAAGATAGAGAGCGTGTGAATTAAGAAATTTGAATAATATTTAATAGCTGATTGAAGTTTCTTTCTGGATGCTGCACGTTATTTCTTTATTGGCATTTAGTAATTTGAGACGAATATTCATTAAGACATACGGAGTGAGAAGGAAAGATGTGGGTTAGTTGGGTGATTAACTTAATTTATTTAATTTGCTTGCTAATTCATGTGATCGAGCTGCGTTGTAAATTGATTTCCATTTGGTGCTAGGCTGATCGCATTTTTTAATTTTCATATTTTATTGCCAATTCCATGGTTTTGAAATTTTTGAAAAGGAATTTTTACAATTTAATTTGATGATTTATGGCTGGAGTTTTTAAAGAATTATTTATCAAGACAGTGCTTCTCAAACTATGCTCTGTGACACATTGAAGAAGAAGAAGCTGTATCGTATCCCAAAAGGCTTAATAGTTCCTCAAATGCTTGCAAAAAGTCCAACGAAACTTTTTCAATCAAAAGCTGTCAAAAACTGCTTCCCAATCTCGTCTAATTCAAAAAATAACAGCTAACCACGCTGAAATTGCCAATCAGCACATTTAATTCTCAACAAGAGCCATTAAATGATTGACAAATTCTTTCCTTCAAAAACCATTTCCACGTCTTTGCCTCGTTTATTGCTTCTTGCATACCTAATATCTCATTCAACTTAATCGCATAATAATAATAACTTCTCATTCATTAAATGTCATTATAAATCAATATGAATGATCCAATGGTTGAGCTAAACAAAATAATATACATATCTATGCGTACATATCCATTACACGTCAATAATTATCTTCAACGTAAATAACTCTTCATGTTTGTGCTTGAATAATAATAATAGGAATAGGATGGAAAAAAATATTTGAGAGAGGTGGTGCCGTTGCTGCTAATGATCGACCATTATAAAAAGAAGAAGAAATACTTAAACGTGGTTCTGTTTTCAACGGAATCAAAAAGACATTAAAATGAAATAAAATTAGATTCTTTTCTTAGACTTAGACAATGTTCGCATACAAATATTCAAATTAATGCCATGTTCAACATAGAAATGGTAATTTTTTATGCTATTCTCGTGTCCAATTGGTAGAAGGAATGAGAAGACCCGAGCTATGCTGTTTTCTGTTTTAAACTTAATAAAGGGGAAGTTTGTAACTCTTTAAGGATGGAAAAAAGGCTCAAGATTTGTTCAGCTGTAAATTAATTTTTTAGAGTTCCTTATAAAATACGTCATGACCAAGAGCAGTCAATTTCAAATCGTTACAAAATATGTAACCAATCCCAAAGTATATTTTTGGCAAAAGGACAGCTTTAATAATCTTTTAAAAATTTTACCGCCAGATTATTTGACATAAGTCCATTAAAATATATTCATTTAGCAGCTCGGGCAGGAGATCGAGAAGAACAAAAGAACCAAAAAAAGTAGAAAATTAGTTACGCATCATGATAAATGTAATAAAAGGATAAATATTTACTAAAGACATAATCCATCCGAATGTTTTATGACTTTTTATTATAAATTATTATTTGTGGGAAACGCACATAAAGGATGCATAGATCATTAATAATGCATAGTCAGTATGAGTGAGAGATTATCTTCATCTACTGCTGCTGCTGAATTTTATTTTACATGTTCTCTTCTCTCCTTGCAGGTTGCAGCTAAACATATGATGACTATATGACAAAGAGTCCATAAAACTAAAGGATAAAAAGTTCTGTGCCGTAAAAATGAGAAGTAAAACACAGAAACAAAAAAGAGTGTGAGAAAAAGAAGAAGTGAAGAAAAAATTTATTCTCGGAAGGATTTAAAATTTATGGCATTAAATTAATTTTCTTATCTCAAAACATCCATGTCTTGATACCTGTACGTATCAGCACAAACAACACACAGAACATCCATTCCATGTTTGGCAAAATTAAATAAATGTTTTCGATAATTTTTTTCTGCTTTTTTTTCACAAGGTTTGTTCACTGAACTTTGAATGAGTTTGATAAACAATTTTTTGAGAGGATATTTTATGAGATTTACAATCAGTGAATAAGCCTTCTAGTCACTTTTGGTCTCCCAAGATCTCATTCATGTCAGAAGAATATATTTTTTCAATGTAAACTTTTTTTGATGCGGAAATTATTGGTGTGGATTTTTTTGAGAATTTTGATTTAAAATAGTTTGACTTGATTTTTTTGAAAGAGTTTGAAACTAAGATTAAGATAAGAATCAGTTAAGTGCCTTGCTGGTCAAATAGGTAAGGCGCTTGGCTCAAATTTGGGATGGTAACTCGAAGGTCGTCGGTTCGAATCCAGCCATTTCCAAATTTGTTCTTTTTCGGAAGTTTAGATACTTCGACTGCTTAATGTAGGAGATCAAGCCATAATTAGGCATTTGGGCAACGTTGGATTAAGGAACGGGTCAGGAACTTGAAGTGTAGCGGGAAAAATAGGAACGAGAGCTACAAGATTGCCCACGAATGGAATATTGTCAGAACGGACCTGAAAAGTATCACGTCACGCCTACAGAAGATCGGAACGAGAGCCTTAGTTTACTTGAAACCTAGATTTTAAGATTAGAAGTTTGATCCTACATAATATTAATTCATATGTATACAAAAGTGTAAAATGTGAATTATTACCGGACAGTATATAAATGCAATAAAGTGCAATTAAAATGAAAAAAAAAGATTCATTTTGAGTGTAAGGAAGATTTTATAAATATTGTAACACCAGAATCCATAAACATAACATTTGAACTAGTAATATCATATTGATAACCTTTGAATCACTGAACATTTTTATAATAAAATAAAGGAACATAGCATTCTAGTTACGAAGCTCGGTTCGTGTGCTGGATGTAGTTTTGAGGTCTTTGGCACAGAATCTGTCTCCTTTGCTAGGTATACAAGGATATACTAGCATCTGGATGACTTCCTTACAGCATCTTGCGCACACGAATTGTGACTAGGGACATTGCAGGGTACATCAGATCTTATGACGTACTCGTGTCTTTGCAATGTGCAGAGCTTGCAAGTGGTTCGGATCCCACTGTAAACTGTAGGTCTAAAGGGTGTGGTACAATAGATTCTGTTCTAATTTGAATCGCAGTGCCTCTAGCTCAAAGGCTGGGCCCTTCACACATTATTTTTATTATTATTAAGGAACAAAGCTAAATTTAATAAACTTCTTAAAAATTCGTTCTAATCCACAAACTTCTTAAACAAACTCTCTACTCGCCTTATTTTTTGATATGAAATTTTTTTATATGTTATTTTTTGCGAAAACACATGACGCCAAAGCTAATTGTTGATAATGATTCTTGATAAATATTTAAGAAATTACTGGATATTATACAGAATGTGATTATGTATTTTTTTTTTTTTTCGATGAATGAGCGAGCTTTAAAGACAACAAAATATTATAAAATGTGAAGAGAATGAAGGAAGAAAAATCAACATTTTCACGGCATCATGAAGACTTAATGATACGAGGGAAAAAAGAATCAGAAATAAAAAAGGTTTTAATTTTCCTTCATTTTATTTTATTACTGTGAGGCAGCTAGCAATTATTGTCGTATGATAGATGAATCGAGGAAAATTAAATGAGTGAGTGTAGATTGAAGAAAAGAAATATTTCGTTGAGTAAGAAAGCAGTTTAATAATACCAGACAAGTTACAACAAATGGAGAATCACGCAACAAGCATTTAATAATATTAAATGCTGCTAATTAAATATTTAACGCTTTTAAAATTATCGATTGTATGTTTTCTTTAGCATGATTTTATTAAGTGATGAATGTAGGTTGCTGATGTTCAGTTTGACGCTGGCTTGAGTGAAGAATTAACTGTGGCAAGAGAAATAAATCATATTCTAGGAATTTCAAGTCAATTTGCTTGGAATTTTGTGTATCAACATAATTCTTAGTGCAGATTTGGCCCAGTTGGATCTGGATTAATTAAAAGTCCCGAAAACAATCTAGATTATATTTTTTAACAACCTTACATCCATACATCATTAAATAAATGCATTTAAGGAACTTGTCTTAACTTTTTCTATCAGACTTGCTAGATTTTAGGCCATGGAAGTACGTGTCATACTTCAGATTATATTAAATGCGCTTTGTCGACCTACTTCCGATGTCTTTTTGACATTACCATATTTCTACATTCACAGCTCACAGCTCACTTTATTAAAATACATGTCCGCCATGCTTATTTCTTCTTCTTCCTCCACTTCATCATCATTTTGCTCTTTATTACTACAAATTTCCAGACACGACACTGATTAAATTAAATTGGACCCTCTCAATTAATTATAATGCCTCTCTTTCTCCAATAATATAATTAAAAGCCGAGCTCTGTTCGTTTCCATTCTTTACGTTGTTTGTCTGTCTCCTTCGCGTGTGCGCTGTGTCTGCTCGCAGCATTCAATTCCTTTCCCTTCATTTCCTTTCCTTTTTTTTCTCTTTTCTCCATCGAACACAAAACTCATTTT